AACGAACTGAATAATCAAACTAATGAAAAAATGTTGTATCTCGTTTTTATCAGTTTCCTTGCATTATTTACTTTCCAGCAAAATATGCGCACTGTATACGTAAATTGTGTGGATATATTTTTGTCAGAAAAATAAATTCAAATATTTTATTATACCTTATCAGAGTTAAAAAAGTAATTGTTATTTAAATTAATGCAAATAAAAACCTTGTTATAATTTCAATGTAAAATAATTAAAAAATACATCTTAAAATTTTGACATTAAATGGTACAATACAAAATTTTGTAGTTTGATGTCATATTTATATGGGTATTGTGAGTGTGATAAATTTGTTCTTATACTGTGGCTGCATTGACTAAACTATAGCAAGAATTTTGCTTACACTTTCACATTTTGACTAATCTAAACGAATTTTTATTTTCACACAAAATCGAAAATAACGCATTCGGACGTAAAAATTTTGTCTAAGTCTAAATATTAACCACATATAATTTTTAGCAGTGCGGCTTGAAATTAGATATTTCCGATGGTTGAGGTGCAAGCTCTAGTATACCGTATTATCTTTATATATAGCATTTAAAATAAAATAAAATAATACACAAATTGATCATTCTTATTCTTTTACGATTCTGACGACGGTTTTATTAGTTCTTTTACTATCCGAGTATCTTGGTATCCGAGTATATGGTAACAATAATATACATATCCGCTAAATATATTTTGTTTTACTCGGTTATCGAGCTCGTTGCTCAAGATTGTGTATTCCACTAATATCTTACTAGGTTAGGTTAGGTTATACCGGTGATCTCTAGTAGATCCACTTAGGCCTAATGGTTACCGTATATGTGGGAGAAATATCTTACTAAGTCAGTGAAAACATTTTTGTAGCATATGAAATATACACGAATGAAAATTATTTTATGTCTATTTTTATAAAATCATAAAACTGCACTTTATAAACTGGCATATAATACTTGTAATTTTTTTGCATGATTTAAACGTACATAGTTATTATATTATAGACTTACACAGTAATTGTGTTTTAGGTTGGTAGACTGTGAGTAATGTCAAGTAATGTTATTATTCAGTATTTACAAAATATTTTAAAAATGAATAGCACCACTATATTACACATCTATTAATAAAGAATGAGATAATGTTTACTCAGCTTTGCTACAAGTACAAGATCTATAAAGTACATATATGTACAATAACATATATTGTATTTCTCGTATGACAGTTGATCAAAGAGTTTACTAACAACTAATTATTTCCAAAGATTCTGTTTCACATTTTCTATTCAATTTATTGATATGAAAATGATTAAAGAAAAAAAATTGTTTATTGATTATTTAATAGTACGAATAATGTTCAATTAAATAAATCTTATAATCACTTACAATCACTGTTCAACGCACTATTAAGCAAATGGATTTCTGTAGTACTGCGTATGATTGAGCAAAAGTCGCTGATTACTGTAGCCTATATATTAGAACTGCAGTAATAATTGTTAGTTACTGATGTCAGAAACTATAGCTTAATGTTGCTTACATTGATTGAACTGTTAATTCAAGTATTTGAATAGTACTCCTCACAATATGTCATTAGAAGTTGTAAGCTGTCGTACGTTTGTATTAAAGGGTTGCTTATCTTTTATGTATTATTATTTATTATATTATTATTAACAGAGTCAACTGCTGTTATTATGCTTACAACACAAATTTGTCCACTTTTTCTGCAAACGTCCTTGGTCGAGTCATCAATCGAGTCTTGTATATGTACTGATACCTTGCTTATACACGCTTTCAATAAAAAATCTATTCATATATATTATTAAAATTTAAGAATCAATATTAATGATAAAAATTTTCAAATACACCAAATATTATTTAGAATATTCCTTACGAACAGTTTTCATGTGTAAAAATAGACATATCGCACTTACAGCATTTTAAGATACATCCACACCAGGGATTACCTGCGAATGTTCACTCGTTCGCAAGTGATTGCTTTAGTGTGAATGCACCTTAACGTAGGTGATTGATGGATTAATAAAAATGATATGCTTTAGATAATAGATAAGAAGTTAAAATGTTTTATTTTTTATTTTATGATTTATCCTTTATTATTTATTAATTAACCATATAACTATTTGTGTGCACTTTTTACAAACACAAATGAATTTTTGTCATGATTGAGCTTGACATTATATTAATAAGATTTTTTCGAATACAGAAATTTTAGGTTCCAGCACTTTAAATTTTACTTATAAAATCAGTATGATTTTTCCTATGACATATTAACATAAATATTACTAATATAATATTAATTTTATATCAAAAGAATGCATTTATATTAAATACATAATATATCATAGTTGATGTACCCTGTAAGAGAAGCAAAAATCATATGTTCAGAAAACATCAAA